CTATGTTCAATCTGAATTCACTTTAAAATAAAAAAATCTATATTGATTCTGACTTTTCTATATCCAACTCACAGGTTTATCATTGCTTTGAGAAATAACATTATGAATGTAACCCTTTTAGAAAGGAAGATCTGGTCATGTGTTCTGGGAAGGTCATTTTCAAGCCTGAGACCTGAAAAACAGGCTCTGGGCTTAACTTCTTTTTGAATGTATTACTGTTTGTTAGTGTGATTTCCTAACTGGTGGTTGAAGTTTTTTTTCCTTGTTAGCCAGTAAAGTCATATTCTGATGAGAATCCAGTGCCACCACAATAAAAGCAGTTAGAATAAAAGCAGTTAGAATAAAAGCCACCCTGACAGGTTAACATACCCATCTTTGATTTTTGTTGTGGATTAGGAATAAGTTATAGTACTCTAATCTAGAAAGTTCAGGCAATCCTACTTTCTTGCTGCTTACCAAAAAAGAAATAACAACACTTGTTTTCAACCACTTCAACCACGCAGCAAGTCCTAAACAAATACAAAAATATGGACAAACAGTGCGAATAAACAAATAAGCAACGTGTCAATCTTTTAAACTGGACTTTAGCGCCGGGGAAAAGCCTAAACTTGATCAGAAAGCAGAATCCCTCATTTGAGATCAGATAGTTAGTTAAGATCTATTTAAGGCTGATTATCAATACATTGTATAGTGACATCTCTTATTGATACAATTATGATTGTGTGAAATGGTGCTGGCTTTCCAAATACACATGAAGTATATCATGGTGTTGAAGTTTTTTCCCCCCACACTAATCTAAACAGCTAATATAAAGATTACAATGCAAATTATCTATAACTTTTGCCAGCTCTTAATCTATAAAACTGAAATCTGTATCACACCACATGAAGTAAAAAGCTGTGTCTGTCTTACCATTTCTAGACAACACATCCTCCCACATTGGACATACTCCATAATAACAGGTTGGGGACACTTGTGCCGACTTTGAAGGGGTTTCCGTTTGGGACAGAGAGTAGCTGCCTTCTGCAGAACAGTTTGAGGTGGTCTTTGAGAAGATCTCGTCTTCCTCAGGAGGGTTGAGACCTACTCCGTAGCCAAAGTCCAACTCTTCACTGGCCGCCTCAGTGGGTTTGCATTTTGTTGAAGCGGAGGTTAATACAGCTTCTGCAGGTTTGGCATTATCCGCATCAGAGGCTCCACTGGCGGCCGAAGAGCTGCTGTCCGTGTCCGTGGCACTGGTCTCTGGACCGGCTAGCACTCGGGCTAACTTCCTCTCAAAGGTGGCTCGGGTGGTCGCTGTGATCGGACCGCACTTGACGCCCGCTCGGGCAAACTCTCCTCGAAGTTCATCCGCACTCAGCCCCCTCAGCCTGCTCAGAACCGCCTCCATGCTTCAGCTCCCTACAACACAACACAACCAGAAAACCTTTATTAGTCCCAGAGAGGCGACATGTACATTGTTACATCAGAAAAGAGCCAAAGACAGCTTAATGTTACCTAAGAAGCATGCATAACAAATATTTAAGATGCAAAATAAATGAAATACATTCAAGCCATTGTGACCAGCAGATGATGATAAACAAAAAAACAATCATGTAGGGGAATTTGATAAGTAGCATTTATCTTTTTTTTTTAGGGATTCAGAATGTTATTTTGAATACCAAATATGATTAATCATAATACTGTTGTTTCAAGTTATACTTCATGAGTAACAAAGTACAAATTCTTCAAGAATGATTTCTACAACACTGGAACAGATCCAGGTAGTCTGTAATTATACATAACCTAGAAGGAAACATACAATTTGATTTGTCTATAAACAGAAAAACATAATTGTATTTTGATTGGAGTACACTATAGCTTATTCATAAATCATACAATTAAAATGAGCACATACCAACACATTGGTAAGACTCAATTAAATGACAAAGTGAGCTAAATAGATTTTTACCTTCCACTATATTCAATATAATGAGCAATCCTATAGCCTGCGACGGCTCTGTGTGCATAACATCATTATTAAATGCCATTCATGCTTTTTAAAATACAAAAAGGTGCCACTCTTTGTTAAATTTAAACTTATTTTACCAACAAGTAACCCCCTTCAGTGCAAAGTATTTCCAGGTAGGGTGCACACACATATATAAGATAGCTTGTCTGTATGCTCAACAACTACACATATTAGTCCCTGAAATGCAATAAAGCAGGTAATACTGAAGTTCTAAGCACTCGTATTGCTAGTTATTTTGTATCAAAACAATCCACACTGTTATGTGAGTAGCATCCGTTAGCTAGGATGCTAATCAACAAGTCAGCTTTAGCAGCCGGGAGTGAGACTGGCAAAGCTAGCAGGAGGGAAACTGCTCAGATGAAGATCGACAATGGAAGATTAAACACAAACACAGTTTGACCTGGAATTATCACGATCACAAATGTATAAAAAATGGATAAACAATGACAATATCAATCGGTTCTTTCGCACACTGTCACGCCCAAGTGTGTCATTCTTCGAGGTGGATGTAACGCAACACATTTGATACGTGAATATGGCGATACTAATCTAAGTTTACGTTTTGACATCTAATAACAAAAGTGTCCCTATACTTACCAAAGAACATTGTTATGTAATACACGCAGAGCTGTTAGAAACCGCCGTTAGTTTTGCAAAGATAAACTGTTGGACAGACACAAAGCTGAAGACGGTCTGCTCTCATTGTTTACAACATATCCTGCGCATGCTCAGTTACAAGGGAGGGAGCACGTTGCATTCCAGTGCTGTGGGGAAATTAAGCTCTGAACGACCTGAGGGTGACAGGCGAGCGGAGATCATTTGCAACCATACAGTCTATGTTTGCAACCGGCATGTGACATTGCACTGACGGAACATGTCGCCACTTTACTCACTCCAAACAGTGACTTTTTTGTAACATATACGGAATTCGTGTTCTAAAAAAGTTGTTTTGCCGTGCCACGAGAAATAATATTATTCAGCTGAGTTATACACAATCTAAATCCCTTTAACTCTACTATAATCCCATATAATTGTATGCTTTGTCATGTCTTTAATCATTAATATCGCTGGTGGACGATTACAAAACAAAACAGAAAGCTACTTTAAGTTGCTTCTGGTGGACGTGTCTTACATGTACGAACTTTCCCCAAACACTTGAACGTTGCATCATACTCTCCCATAGCAGACGTGACAAATCCAAAGAAACGATAACCTAGCAAACTCATGTGCAGGTATTTCTGGTTAAAAACGCATTCACATTGTTTATAATAAATGCAAAAACCGAAATAGTGAAAATGAAGTGCCGGAATAAACACCATATTAGAGTATAATCATGTTGGCACAATCCCCACGTTTGCAGGCCAACTTGTATGAGGCAAGACATACGATATTAATAGAAAAATAACATCGCTACCCAGAATAGACATTTGTTCGTTTAAGGTTGCAAGCAAAGACATTAAGCATGACGTTTGTTGGATTCACAATCCGGTTAAGGAAGCTGAGTCTGACAAGCAGGCTAACTAGCCACTTAGCAAGGAAAGAAGCTAATCAGTCAAGCCACCGGTTAGCATTAGCATACATGAAATACCTACAGTAAGAACAGTTTTTAGTGTCCCTCAAGAGCACATACGCTTAAACATGTTTCACAGTTAACTGTAGTGTAATGTTAGTTGAACATATTATAATTTTTAACAGTGACATGCCCACCTCCACCTCTCCTCCCGGAAACTGTTGCTAGGTGTCTTCTTCTGTTCTCTCACCGCTAATGGTTTCAAAATGCAGACAGTTAGGACCCCGTTGTGGCTAACGGAGTGCCTGATCAAAGCAACGATTACAACTTAATTCAATTCAAATTCAAAGGCTTTGTTGTCAAGCGCATTAGCTACAGTGTAGATAGGGCAACGTCTCAAGAAAATTAAAATAGTGCAAGAAGTAAAAGAGTAGAATACAATAATGCAGATTATGTTGCAAGTGTGCAAGTAATGCTGAAGAACAGGATGAATCATCAGTAGTGGAACAAGTATTCAGATTACTCACTTAAGTAAAAGTACTAGCAATATTACAGAACAGAGGTGGGAGAAGTACTCAGGTCTTGTACTTGAGTAAAAGTAGAAGTACTCAGATCTTGTACTTGAGTAAAAGTAGAAGTAGTCAGATCTTGTACTTGAGTAAAAGTAAAAGTAGTCAGATCTTGTACTTGAGTAAAAGTAGAAGTACCAGAGTGTAGGAATACTCTGTTACAGTAAAAGTCCTGCATTCAAAATGTTAACTCAATTAAAAGTATAAAAGTATTATTATCAAAATATAGTTAAAGTAGCAAAAGTAAAAGTAGTCATTCGGCAGATTGGCCCATTTCAGAATAATATATATGATATGGTTAGATTATAATCATTGTTGCATTAATATGTTTATGTGGATTTACTCCAGGTGAAACTAAAATCTTATTTAAGTGTTGTGTATATTTCATATCATTAATCCATATGTATTATATATATATATATATATATATTGAAGTACCTAAAAGTATTAAATACATGTGGTAAAAATACACCATATACCTCTAAATTGTAGTGGGGTAGAAGAACAAAGTAGCTGAGAATGGAGATACTCATGTTAAGTACCTCGAAATTGTATTAAAGTATAATTCTTGAGTAAATGTACTTCGTTACTTCCCATCTCTGGAAATAATCAGTGGTAGAAAAAATATCCATATTCTTTACTTGAGTAAAAGTACCAATACCACTTTGTTAAAATACTATAATAACTAAACATTTGTAAACATTTTAAAGCAATACATCTTCACATTAAAGAAGCTGGAACTGTGAGTAAAACATCTCTTAATTCCAATTAATTTTTCTGTTAAACCACTCATGGTTTTAGTTACCTAAATACAATGTTGGATGGTTTAATCTATACCAAATAATACATTTAAAAAGTTGCTAAAGTAAAGTGTGTCAAAATCTGAATTTATAAAGAAACTATTCTGTAATACATCTGTAAAATAAATGAGTAAAAACTACATAATTGGCTTCCAAAATGTAGTAGAGTAGAAGTATAAAGTAGTATAAAAGGAAAATACTCGGGTACAAGTACCTCAAATACCTTAAATAGAATTGAGTAAAACACACTGGACACTGCACTTGGTCAGAAACCAGAGGAGACTGTGAAGTCCACCGCAGACGGACCACTTTTGGACAAAATGTCCTTTCCATTAAAGGCAGCTCATTGTGGAATAGCCTCCCAACTGAGATACGGGATTGTCCCACTCTCAATAGCTTCAAAGGTCAACTCAAACAATGGTTGAGAAACAAACATACGTGCGATCACCGCTAAATGCACTTTGTCCCGATAGCAATGAATAAATGAAATGCTTTGACAATAAAAACATTAAAAAATGTCATCTGTGGAAGCCGTAGTACTGTAAAAACCACGACCAATCATCTGAGCCGGCCCGGATAAAATAACTGGATGGCCTACCTGCCTGTCAGCCTTCCATCTGTGCACAAACTTATCTCGTGCCCTCATTGGTCATGTGCGCGTTCGTTCGAAGGGGCAGATTTTTTCCGGTTGTGTTCTTTCAAATTCTAGCGCACTCGAGCTGATTTCTCCATTCTTACCTACCCTACCTTTAAATGAAATTAAATGAAATAAATATCCTTAGTTACTTTCAACAACTGGAAATAATTCAGAACAAACTATAATTAAAGGATGAATAGTGCAATTTTATGATAAATACAATCACATCTCCCAACACACATGTTAAAAAGGAATGAATAAATTCCAATCTTTAAAGAAAAAAAAAAAGCAAATACAGCAGCATGAGCGCAGGTGTTATTACACACTACCCAACGTTACAGTGAAAGGTAGTCTGGAAGATAGAGTCCAATCTTTTTTCAGAACACAGTTTTTCCAAGATATATAAGTTGCCTTAGTAAGCATTCTCTTAACATATTTATTGTCCCTTTTGGAAATGTATAAGCATACAATGGTGGTAAAAAAAAAAAAGTGTTTTAAGTGTGGGAATGAGCAGCTGCAGCACAGTTGCATGCAGAAAGCTTGTGTACCATCCAATGGCCTCTCTGCATTCACATAATAGTGCAGCTGTACAGTTTTGCATTTTATATGTCATCTTAGTTACACTATTAAACAATTATGGATTTACAATCATACAAAAAAGAAGAATGTATTCATATATTAACCTCTGGAAACAATTAACTTAGCCCAAATACCCATACAACAAGTATAACATCCGATTAAGGGGTTGTCTTTTCTTTTTTGTAAATACATTATGTACCAAATGTAACAGAAAATGAACACGTCTGATTGCACCTGTTAGGAGTAGCGTTTCTGCTTCGTCGTGCAACTTTCTCTCCACGTCAGTTGTTTGAGATCATTTGAACTTATTTTACAATTCTTCAGTAAGGGGTTTGAACACATATACACGTTAACATATTACATCTTGCACACACCCTCAGCAGTCTTATGCTCAGTCAAACCCACTTAGTCCTTTACAGCATATTACAGATCGCTTAAGGCTTTTTTTTGCGTACAAATGACTGCAGTCCATGCTAGACAAAACACCCCCATATATAACTGAGATCAATGGTTTTAGAGTTGAAGAACCCATGGTGATATGGTAACAACAAATGTATGAGAAACACTGCATTAGAACAAGCGGAAATACAAAATAAGAAACCACAGTTTTGCATGACTTTGTGATGTTTAACCGTGTCAGTTAAATCATAGATGACCGACTTCACTCACACAGGCACAAAGAAATGGAAGAACAGTTCACAGCCAATCAGGAGACAGACTCACGGGTTGTTTCTTTCACCAAAAACACTTTTTCAAATAATGTCAGCCGTCATTAAGCAGCATTCAAAGCCACTGATGTAATATTACCAGGAGGAGGATGACTAAATACCGTTAAGTGGACTCACGGGGAAGAACTAGCCCAAGCGATTATTACTTTAACAGTCTTTACTAGACCATTTTGGTATCTACCATAACAAAACTGAAGATAAATGATCCTCTCGGGGAGGCTGTCAGATAATTTCTCTTTACTCGAAATAAATAAATGTAACAATAAGCATAAAAAATATAATAACAACTGTCAAATAAAGAGGAAAGAATAAAAGCTATGGTAGATGAAGTATTACTTTGCGAGAGCACTTCTGTGCTGATGGGAGAACGCCAAATGTTGGCAGCAATTGTTAAGAAAAGAGAACCTTCAAAAGTGCCTTTGTGGATAAAACTCCACGCTTCCCTCTAATGGCCTGAGAAAAGTTCTTCTGTCATCACTGCTGCGGCTCTGCTTCATTGTTATTGTCCACCAGCATGTTGTTTAACGGCGTTGGTGATTTGGAGACGTTGTTTTCCAGCTCCAGTTGAGCCTCCTCTGCGTTTGTCCACGAGCTCATGGACTCATGTACTGTCACCGTGTGCTCTTCCATCTGCTTTTGGAGAATGTCCATCTCCTCCCTGGGGAAAAAAACAGATTCATTTTCATAGTTCCCTAGCACTACTTTCATCATTTTACATTTAATATTGAATACTCCATTCTTACACAATAATATCCTGCATTATATTTGTTACTGGAGATTTGTATTTCCACATGTATATATTTTTTTATCTTTTTAATGCTATTTTATTTCTATTTCTGAAATATATTGGACTGTTTATTTCTGTGTCTTAGTTTCTCTTATGTACATTGCCTTGTGTTTTCTTTTGCTGCTGCAACGCAAACATTTCCCAAATTGGGATCAATAAAGTGTCTATCTATCTATCTACCTACCCACCTACCTACCTACCTACCTACCTACCTACCTACCTATCCATCTACCTACCTACCTACCCACCCATCTACCTATCCATCTACCTACCTACCTACCTACCTACCTACCTACCTACCTACCTACCTACCTACCTACCTACCTACCTACCTACCTACCTACCTACCTACCTATCCATCTACCTACCTATATACCTACCTACCTACCTGCCTATCTATTAGGGATGTAACGATACAAAAAACTCACGGTACGATAATATCTCGATATTGAAAAATAAAGGAAACAAATGTGAATTTCTTTTTTTTTTAATTTGCATTTTTTTTTCTTTATTAAATAATAAATCTGATTTGTACAGCATTTGAGTAGGATAGTAGTAATTTAAAGTGTCAACAATATAATAATCAGAACCTGCAATAGAATAAATCATGTTTCACTTTTCTACTACCCATCTCTCATTGTACTATGTTTTAGTTTTCTTTTGTATATTCCAATCTGGTGCAAATACTTGTCGTTATTCTTTTATTAATGATACATATATTGTTTTACATATTTTCTTTTAATAATCATTCAATTTTTGACCTTCTCTTACAACTTATTTCCATATGTTCTTTATGTTTGCACCGTCATACACGTGTGTAAACTTCCCTGGCAATAAAGTAGAATAGGAGTCTTACTTGAGGTGCCGTAGACAGTTGTGCAGGTTGTTGAGTGGCTCTTTGTTGACAGAAGTCGATGGTTTTAACAACTCATCCAACAGAGAGGCTGGCACTGGGCAGTCTGGGATCTTAACCGGTGTCACTGGGTTCGATGGGCTCCCGTCGCTCTTCAGCTCCATGCGCTGCTGCTCCAAACAAAAACAAATCACAGGGATGCATTCATTCATTCATTTATCTACTGCAGGCATTTCTTATTTGGAGATACACTTACACCACTGGCCTTTAAAAGGTCCCCTATTATACAGCTTTTCATCAATATAGGTCTCAGATAAATACAGAACATGTCTCTGAAGTGTCTCTCCAAACACCAAACAGATCATTGCAGCATTACCCATAATCCCCTCTGTTTCAGCCTTGTTTCCAAAGTGCTGATTCTCTGTCTGT